AGTGTAAAAATAGATAAATAAATTTAAATTAATGTAAATAAAAAAATAAAAAAATAACAGTTCTAAATAAAAATGTTTAAATAAACATATTAAAAATAAATAAATATAAAAAAAGACAGAACAATAAAAACAAAAAATTGGGAAAAATATAAATATTTTAAAATAAATTGATGCTCCATATTTCTTCTTGACATGAAGCACTGTAAATGTTTCCTCATTTTTGCTGCGGGACGAGTTTCTGAGGTGATGGACAGACGTCATCATCAGAACGGCATCATCTCTACGCTGGTCATTTCTCCTAAATCATCTGTCACAGAGGTCACACAGAGGTCACGCAGAGTGCAGTGGTGCATGATGGGAAGCCCTGAACAGAACATTCCAGAGCTCAGTTTCTGGCTGAACTTAAGGAGCCTCAAACTCTCTTACTGAAGATAAAGACAAGAACAACGACCCCACCAACACACACACACACACACACACCAAACAGACCGTCTTTGTCCTGCGCGTCCCCCTCCTCAGAGATCCCACACACACACACACACTCACACACACACTCACATCATTATCGCATGTCCATTTAGGGATGCACAACCATATCTGCCACCATAACGTTATCGGCCAATAAGAAAATTTGTCCGATATATTAAAGCTGATAAATACTGTACTATTTCCTTTTGCACTTCAGATGTGCCCTGTTCATCATGATGGTTTTGAATTGCTTGAAATATGATTGGAATCACTTCAAAAAAGCAAAAAGAAAATTTGTCAGATATATTAAAGCTGATAAATACTGTACTATTACCTTTTACGCTTTAGATGTGCCCTGTTCATCATGATGGCTTTGAATTGCTTGAAATATGATTGGAATCACTTCAATTAATCAAAAAGCTAAATACAGTAAAATGCAACATGAGCATCACAAGTCTGTCACACATATAATGAGAACATTATTGTAATTGTGTGTTTGAGACGTGGCTTTTAATGGTGAGACTTTTGTTTTTGTAATCAGGCTCTAAAAAATTATATAAAAATGTGGATTTAGATTTATCGGTTAATATATCGGTTATCGGCTTTCAAATATAAAGAATTATCGGCATCGGACAAATTTTTCATATCGGTGCATCCCTATGACCATTTATTGATTGTTCATCAAGTATCTGTGTGATAAGTTATAATGCCAACACTGACCGGCTGCCTGTAGATTATCCTCATAAACATTCATAACATAAACAGGAAATACATCACCTGATCTAACAGACCCCGACCAATCAGGAGGACCGAAACACTCATAGCAACCAAAACTCATTCTTAAATATTAATGAGCCTACCATACTATTAAAGATGCCCAGAAGAGATATTATAATTACTTGCAAATCAGGACCAGACACTTTGAAGCAGAAATGATGTAAAACAGGAATAATGAAGTGAACATCATCAAGCATTAATCAGGATCATCTGGAGAATATGAACACACACACACACGACACACGCACACACACACACACACACACACACACACACACACACACACACACACACACGGCTGGATCAGCTCTTCATTTATAAACACGATCTTGAAATGATCTCATGTACTGTAGGAATCAGATGAGAGTTCGAGCTCTGGTGAATGCCGTCATTATTATATAATATCTGTGTATCTGTGTGTGTATTTGGCTCAGCTCTACGCTGACAGCTCAGTTTCATATTATCTCAAATCTGTGCAGTATTTTTAGACTGTAACACTCCAACCGTCCAGGAGAGGAAGAAATCTACTTGAAAGCCGCTTGAAAGTGTTTCTGGAGTGAGGAAAGTAGGGCAGACGAGCACAGATCAGCTCCTGACTCTCAGAGATGAGGATTATATTAATATGACACATGATTCTTCAGAGGAATGACGTCACGACTCCACAGGCCCCTGTGTGTGTGTGTGTGTGTGTGTTATCTTCATGCAGAATACCCAGCATGCCTCAGCAGCCCACAGTGGCATTCACGTCCCACGACACGCTTCTTTCCCATGAGCATCATACACTGCTGTCCGTCACACACACACACACACACACACACACACACACACACACACACACACACACACACACACACACACACACACACGTGTCTGTGGCCTCGTCCAATGCGGCCCATCTGCCGGTTATGGATCGCTGGGAATCTGAAATGAGCTCATAATGAAACACATCGGCTCTGCCAACACTGAACTCAGTCTCCAGTCCCACACTGTCCCAAACGCTGTCCCAAACGCTGTCCCAAACACTGTCCCAAACGCTGTCCCAAACCCTGTCCCAAACGCTGTCCCAAACGCTGTGCCAAACGCTGTCCCAAACCCTGTCCCAAACACTGTCCCAAACGCTGTCCCAAACGCTGTCCCAAACCCTGTCCCAAACGCTGTCCCAAACCCTGTCCCAAACCCTGTCCCAAACCCTGTCCCCAAACCCTGTCCCAAACGCTGTCCCAAACCCTGTCCCAAACGCTGTCCCAAACCCTGTCCCAAACCCTGTCCCAAACGCTGTCCCAAACGCTGTCCCCAAACGCTGTCCCAAACCCTGTCCCAAACGCTGTCCCAAACCCTGTCCCAAACCCTGTCCCAAACGCTGTCCCAAACCCTGTCCCCAAACCCTGTCCCAAACGCTGTCCCAAACCCTGTCCCAAACGCTGTCCCAAACCCTGTCCCCAAACCCTGTCCCAAACGCTGTCCCAAACCCTGTCCCAAACGCTGTCCCAAACCCTGTCCCAAACGCTGTCCCAAACACTGTCCCAAACGCTGTCCCAAACACTGTCCCAAACACTGTCCCAAACCCTGTCCCAAACGCTGTCCCAAACGCTGTGCCAAACGCTGTCCCAAACGCTGTCCCAAACGCTGTCCCAAACGCTGTCCCAAACCCTGTCCCAAACGCTGTCCCAAACCCTGTCCCAAACCCTGTCCCAAACCCTGTCCCCAAACCCTGTCCCAAACGCTGTCCCAAACCCTGTCCCAAACGCTGTCCCAAACCCTGTCCCAAACCCTGTCCCAAACGCTGTCCCAAACGCTGTCCCCAAACGCTGTCCCAAACCCTGTCCCAAACGCTGTCCCAAACCCTGTCCCAAACCCTGTCCCAAACGCTGTCCCAAACCCTGTCCCCAAACCCTGTCCCAAACGCTGTCCCAAACCCTGTCCCAAACGCTGTCCCAAACCCTGTCCCCAAACCCTGTCCCAAACGCTGTCCCAAACCCTGTCCCAAACGCTGTCCCAAACCCTGTCCCAAACGCTGTCCCAAACCCTGTCCCAAACGCTGTCCCAAACACTGTCCCAAACCCTGTCCCAAACCCTGTCCCAAACGCTGTCCCAAACCCTGTCCCAAACCCTGTCCCAAACGCTGTCCCAAACCCTGTCCCAAACGCTGTCCCAAACACTGTCCCAAACCCTGTCCCAAACGCTGTCCCAAACCCTGTCCCCAAACCCTGTCCCAAACGCTGTCCCAAACCCTGTCCCAAACGCTGTCCCAAACCCTGTCCCAAACGCTGTCCCAAACACTGTCCCAAACCCTGTCCCAAACGCTGTCCCAAACCCTGTCCCAAACGCTGTCCCAAACACTGTCCCAAACGCTGTCCCAAACGCTGTCCCAAACGCTGTCTGTCCCACACACACACTGTCCCACACACACACTGTCCCACACACACACTGTCCCCCACACACACTGTCCCCCACACACACTGTCCCCCACACACACTGTCCCCCACACACACTGTCCCACACACCCTCAGACTGAGTCTCTCGCCGTGACGGTTGAGCTGCTATTGAAAAGCTCAGACGCGGCAGACAATGACCCGGCACACTCATTAGCATTGTATTAATTGGGAGATGTGACCCAGTAATGGAATGCTGTGTGTGTGTTTGTGTCTGTGTGTGTGTGTGTGTGTGTGTGTGTGTGTGTGTGTGTGTGTGTGTGTGTGTGTGTGTGTGTGTGTGTGTGTCTGTGTGTGTATGTGTGTGTGTGTGTGTGTGGGGATCCCCAAAAGTTAGCAAAACATGACCCCATTTGGAAATGGCTTTGTAAAAAAATTATATATAGGTCTGTGTGTGTATATACACACACACACACACGCGCGTTTACACAGTATGTGTGTGTATATATTATATATTACATACATTATATATATCAAGTCAAGTCACCTTTATATGGCGCTTTTTACAATACGGTTGAAACAACAACATTGTTTCAAAGCAGCTTTACAGAGAAAAGGCGACCCGTAGCTTTTCCCTAAACCTTGTTTTACTAATCAGAAGAACTATTCATATGAAAAACTACTCATCAAATTTGAGAGATTATATATATATATATATATATATATATATATATATATATATATTGATTATCTCATAAAATTGTACGAGTAGCTTTTTTATATTAATAGTTTTCTTCTATTCTGATTATAAAAACAAGTTACTACTTCGACCTGAGGGAACGTTTTAGTTTTAAGCTTATGAAAAACCATCGCTCTAATCCTGGACCCGGGCCCTAATTTAAATAACACCTTTGGCTTTCAAATTAAATCTGAAAAAAAAAGTCTGTCATTAAATGCAAATAATCGGATATAATCTGATTCAAACCGCGCGCGCTCCCGCGCCGCACCTGCTCGCGTCACCTGAACATCACAACTACTACAACATCATCATCATCACATTACACAACACAATACTAAACAACACAACATAATAGAGTATTACAGAAATTGTATTTCATTACAGAATTGTCTCTGTCTTACACTTACAAATGAGACAAAATAAGAGAGAAGTATCGCCTGATAGCGTCACATCTGCAGTACAAGAGAGGATATTACCTCATAAAATAACATATCTCACATAATTTACCTCAAAATCATGTGGAAAACGAGAATTGAGCGATTATAAACCGTTTATAGCCTTTGACAGCTGCGCGTTTCTCCGCGCAAAACTCATGAATCACGCGATTAAACCGAAATATATTATAAGAAACATCAGCTACTAACCTAATGAAACCCGCTCGGTCCTGGTCCTGGTCTTAGTCCTGATTCTGGTCCTGATTCTGGTCCCGGTTCTGGTTCTGGTCCGGTCTACGGTACTGTGACTGTCTCCGTCCTGCGCTGCGACTGACTGGACTCTTCGCGCGCGCGCTCTTCTCCAGTAATGCCCGCGGATGTCGGTCGCGCGCAGAGCTCTCTCAGGTACGCGCAGTGCTCCACCAGCCTGAGCTGACGAGCTTGTTTTGAGGTTTCTCACTGGATGCGCGGTGGGACGAGGCAAAACATGACTGGAGATTTCCACAATTCAATTTAAAATCACCCAGGCGTCCCGTCTGAGAACAGAGCCGTGTACACTCCACCAGATACAGCTGAAGCTCTGCTGTTCACGCGTTCACTGAGCCGAGTCTCTTCTGCAACAGATGAATGAACCACAAGGCTGATGAAAAGAAGCAGAATACACAGTTCAGCGCTTGAGTCTGCATAAACAAACAGAATTTACACACACATAAAGGTTCTTTATAGGCATCAATGACTCCATGAAGAATCTTTCCATTGCACAAAAGGCTCTTTATAGTGGAATACGGTTCTTTAGATTATTAAGATGTTTACATTCACATTATCATTGAGCAGATGCTTTTATGCAAATGAGGAGAGCAATAAAAGCAATCCAACAAACAATAGAGCAACAATATGCCATGATCAGTCCCTCTTAGTCCAGCACAGCACACGTAGCAAGGTGCGTTTTTATTAAATACAACCTGAATTCCGAAAAAGTTGGGACGTTTTTTAAATTTGAATAAAATGAAAACTATAAGACTTTCAAATCACATGAGCCAATATTTTATTCACAATAGAACATAGATAACATAACAAATGTTTAAACTGAGAAATTTTACACTTTTATCCACTAAATGAGCTCATTTCAAATTTGATGCCTGCTACAGGTCTCAAAAGTTGGGACGGGGGCAACAAATGGTTGAAAAAGCAAAAAAAATTAGAAAGGATTCAGGTGGGAGAACATCTAGCAACTAATTAAGTTCATTTATATCAGGTCTGTAACATGATTAGCTATAAAAGGGATGTCTTAGAGAGGTAGAGTCTCTGAGAAGTAAAGATGGGCAGAGGCTCTCCAATCTGTGAAAGAGTGCGTAAAAAGATTGTGGAACACTTTAAAAACAATGTTCCTCAACGTCAAATTGCAAAGGCTTTGCAAATCTCATCATCTACAGTGCACAACATCATCAAAAGATTCAGAGAAACTGGAGAAATCTCTGTGCGTAAGGGACAAGGCCGAAGACCTTTATTGGATGCCCGTGGTCTTTGGGCCCTCAGACGACACTGCATCACTCATCGGCATGATTGTGTGAATGACATCACTAAATGGGCCCAGGAATACTTCCAGAAACCACTGTCGGTAAACACAATCCGCCGTGCCATCTCCAGATGCCAACTAAAGCTCTATCAAGCAAAAAGGAAGCCATATGTGAACATAGTCCAGAAGCGCCGTCGTGTCCTGTGGGCCAAGGCTCATTTAAAATGGACTATTTCAAAGTGGAAAAGTATTCTATGGTCCGACGAGTCCAAATTTGACATTCTTGTTGGAAATCACGGACGCCGATTCCTCCGGGCAAAAGAAGAGGGAGACCTTCCATCGTGTTATCAGCATTCAGTTCAAAAGCCAGCATCTCTGATGGTATGGGGGTGCATAAGTGCATACGGTATGGGCAGCTTGCATGTTTTGGAAGGCACTATGAATGCTGAAAGCTATATAAAGGTTTTAGAGCAACATATGCTCCCCTCCAGACGACGTCTATTTCAGGGAAAGCCTTGTGTATTTCAGCAGGACAATGCAAAACCACATACTGCAGCTATTACAACTGCATGGCTACATCGTAGAAGAGTCCGGGTGTTGAATTGGCCTGCCTGCAGTCCAGATCTTTCACCTATAGAGAACACTTGGTGCATCATTAAACGAAAAATGCGTCAAAGACGACAACGAACACTTCAGCAGCTGGAAACCTATATAAGGCAAGAATGGGACCAAATTCCAACACCAAAACTCCAGACACTCATAAACTCGATGCCCAGACGTCTTCAAACTGTTTTGAAAAGAAGAGGAGATGTTACACCATGGTAAACGTGCCCCCGTCCCAACTATTTTGAGCCCTGTAGCAGGCATCAAATTTGAAATGGGCTCATTTATTGGATAAAAGTGTAAATTTTCTCAGTTTAAACATTTGTTATGTTATCTATGTTCTATTGTGAATAAAATATTGGCTCATGTGATTTGAAAGTCGTATAGTTTTCATTTTATTCAAATTTAAAAAATGTCCCAACTTTTCCGGAATTCGGGTTGTAGATAAATAGATAGAGTAGAATAGTGGGTCTTTAACTGATCATCAATCACAATCACAAGGTTCCTGGCTGGCCTTGATGGAGCTGTGGATGATGAACCCAGCTGGATGGAGAAGTTGTGATGAAGTGTTGGGTTGGCCGGGACCAGCACTTCTGTCTTTGCAGGGTTTAGCTGAAGGTGGTGGTCCTTCATCCAGCAGTAAATGTCTGTCAGCAAGGCTAAGATGCGAGCAGCTCCCGTTGGATCATTCGGCTGGAATGAGAGGTAGAGTAAAAACCCATGTTTCTGAATGACAGATCCTAGTGAGGTCATGTAAATGGAGAAGAGAAGCGGCCCCAGCACTGAGCCCTGAGGCACTCCAGTAGCTAGATGATAACAGTGATGGGAGAAACCATGTTTCTGAGTGACAGATCCTAGTGATGACATGTAGATGGAGAAGAGAAGCGGTCCCAGCACTGAGCCCTGAGGCACTCCAGTATCTAGATGATAACAGTGATGGGAGAAACCATGTTTCTGAATGACAGATCCCAGTGATGACATGTAGATGGAGAAGAGAAGTGGTCCCAGCACTGAGCCCTGAGGCACTCCAGTAGCTAGATGATAACAGTGATGGGAGAAACCATGTTTCTGAATGACAGATCCTAGTGATGGCATGTAGATGGAGAAGAGAAGTGGTCCCAGCACTGAGCCCTGAGCCACTCCAGTATCTAGATGATAACAGTGATGGGATAAACCATGTTTCTGAATGACAGATCCTAGTGATGGCATGTAGATGGAGAAGAGAAGCGGTCCCAGCACTGAGCCCTGAGGCACTCCAGTAGCTAGATGATAACAGTGATGGGAGAAACCATGTTTCTGAATGACAGATCCCAGTGATGACATGTAGATGGAGAAGAGAAGCAGTCCCAGCACTGAGCCCTGAGGCACTCCAGTAGCTAGATGATAACAGTGATGGGATAAACCATGTTTCTGAGTGACAGATCCCAGTGATGACATGTAGATGGAGAAGAGAAGTGGTCCCAGCACTGAGCCCTGAGGCACTCCAGTAGCTAGATGATAACAGTGATGGGAGAAACCATGTTTCTGAATGACAGATCCCAGTGATGACATGTAGATGGAGAAGAGAAGTGGTCCCAGCACTGAGCCCTGAGGCACTCCAGTAGCTAGATGATAACAGTGATGGGAGAAACCATGTTTCTGAATGACAGATCCTAGCGATGACATGTAGATGGAGAAGAGAAGCAGTCCCAGCACTGAGCCCTGAGGCACTCCAGTAGCTAGATGATAACAGTGATGGGATAAACCATGTTTCTGAGTGACAGATCCCAGTGATGACATGTAGATGGAGAAGAGAAGTGGTCCCAGCACTGAGCCCTGAGGCACTCCAGTAGCTAGATGATAACAGTGATGGGAGAAACCATGTTTCTGAATGACAGATCCTAGTGATGACATGTAGATGGAGAAGAGAAGCGGTCCCAGCACTGAGCCCTGAGGCACTCCAGTAGCTAGATGATAACAGTGATGGGATAAACCATGTTTCTGAATTATAGATCCTAGTGATGACATGTAGATGGAGAAGATAAGCGGTCCCAGCACTGAGCCCTGAGGCACTCCAGTAGCTAGATGATAACAGTGATGGGAGAAACCATGTTTCTGAATTATAGATCCTAGTGATGACATGTAGATGGAGAAGAGAAGCGGTCCCAGCACTGAGCCCTGAGGCACTCCAGTAGCTAGATGATAACAGTGATGGGATAAACCATGTTTCTGAGTGACAGATCCTAGTGATGACATGTAGATGGAGAAGAGAAGCGGTCCCAGCACTGAGCCCTGAGGCACTCCAGTAGCTAGATGATAACAGTGATGTAATAAACCATGTTTCTGAATGACACATCCTAGTGATGACATGTAGATGGAGAAGAGAAGAGGTCCCAGCACTGAGCCCTGAGGCACTCCAGTAGCTAGATGATAACAGTGATGGGATAAACCATGTTTCTGAATTATAGATCCTAGTGATGACATGTAGATGGAGAAGATAAGCGGTCCCAGCACTGAGCCCTGAGGCACTCCAGTAGCTAGATGATAACAGTGATGGGAGAAACCATGTTTCTGAATTATAGATCCTAGTGATGACATGTAGATGGAGAAGAGAAGCGGTCCCAGCACTGAGCCCTGAGGCACTCCAGTAGCTAGATGATAACAGTGATGGGAGAAACCATGTTTCTGAATTATAGATCCTAGTGATGACATGTAGATGGAGAAGAGAAGCGGTCCCAGCACTGAGCCCTGAGCCACTCCAGTAGCTAGATGATAACAGTGATGGGAGAAACCATGTTTCTGAATTATAGATCCTAGTGATGACATGTAGATGGAGAAGAGAAGCGGTCCCAGCACTGAGCCCTGAGGCACTCCAGTAGCTAGATGATAACAGTGATGGGAGAAACCATGTTTCTGAATTATAGATCCTAGTAATGACATGTAGATGGAGAAGAGAAGCGGTCCCAGCACTGAGCCCTGAGGCACTCCAGTAGCTAGATGATAACAGTGATGGGAGAAACCATGTTTCTGAATTATAGATCCTAGTAATGACATGTAGATGGAGAAGAGAAGCGGTCCCAGCACTGAGCCCTGAGGCACTCCAGTAGCTAGATGATAACAGTGATGGGAGAAACCATGTTTCTGAATTATAGATCTAGTGATGACATGTAGATGGAGAAGAGAAGCGGTCCCAGCACTGAGCCCTGAGGCACTCCAGTAGCTAGATGATAACAGTGATGGGATAAACCATGTTTCTGAATGACAGATCCTTGTGAGGTCATGTAAATGGAGAAGAGAAGCGGTCCCAGCACTGAGC